CAGGGCGGCAAGAAATAGCTGGGCTCTGGGGTGTACCCACTGGGCATGTCTGACACAGGCCTCCCTGAGTCACCACACAGGCAGAGGCCACCAGGACCCCTGCAGACGGGGTGTGTCGGTGGACCCCAATCCCTCCAGTGCCTGGGCTGAAGGAGCTGGCGGTGGCTCCCCCAAGTGACCACCAGGGGAAGAACCGCATTTCTGCCCTCCGAGCGCTGTGGGGGCTCAGCTCAGCTCAGCTCTGGTCACCCACCTCCCTGGACACTGTTGGCCACAGAGGAGTCAATGCAACGCTGTGGCTGGCCCAGAGGAACAGCTGGGGACACACGGGCAGGTCCTCTGGCCACCCCCGGTGCAGGCTGGACCTTCTGAGGGGGTGCTTCCTGGGACACGTCGGATCCGTCCTCTTTATTGGAAATGAGCCCGGAGCTTGCCCAGCGCCTCCAGGCTTGACTGGCACACGTGCCCGTCTGGGGCCCGACTCGGGTCCCTAAAGGCAGACCCATTCCCGCTCTCATCAGAGTCTGTGCTGTCACCTGCAGGCATGCCACAGTCACAGCTGGACAGGACTCTCCTGCCCTCCCCTCCCCTCCTCTGCCCTCCCCTTCCCTCCCTTAGCCCCCACCCCTCACCCTCCAATTTCCTCTCCTCCCCTCCTCCCTCCCTCCCCTCCTCCCTCCCTCACTCTCTCTCTCCCCTTTTCTCTCCCTCCTCCTCTTCTCTCTTCTTCCTGCCTCTCTCCCTCCTCCCTTTCTCCCTCCTCCCCCTACCTTCCTCCTCTCCCCTCCTCTCTCCCTTCCCTACTCTCTCCCTCATCCTCTCTCCCCTTTCCTCCCTTCTCCCCTCCTCTCTCCCTCCCTCCACTCCCTTCCCTGGGGTCCTTGTTAGAGCAGCTGTAAGGATGGAGGCTGGGCACATGCTAGAGGAAAAGGCAGCTCAGATAGAGAAGGGAGCACCAAATGAAGAGTGTTGGGAGGATCCTCCCTGGATGGGAGATGCATGCTGAGAGCAGACTATAGACCGAACATGACTGCCACTCAATGCCTCTTTTGCAAACCACAGCACCCAAAAGGAGAGAGAACAAAAGGGAATGCCCTGCCACAGGGGCCGGGTGGGATGGGAGGATGGGGGTGGGAGGGATACTGGGATCCGTGGTGGTGGGAAATGGGCACTGGTGGAGGGATGGGTACTCGATCACTGTATAACTGACACCCAAGCACAAAAATTTGTAAGTCTACAACTGTACCTCATGGTGTTTCACTAATAAAAAATTTTTTTAAAAAAAGATGGAGGCTGGGTGGTCCCTGGCCAGCCAGGGGAGCCCCTACACCATACACCGCCCCCCGACTAAGGAGCCCCTGACCTTGCTGCTTCTTACTGGGCTGAAAGGCAGCTGCCACGCTGCAGGGCAGCCAGTGTCCTGCCGTGTGGCCATGCACCCAGCCCTGCTGCCCCCTGGCCACGCCCAGGGCTCCGTGGCATGGCCTCTGCATTCACTGGGCCCAGGCAGGCCCTGCAGCTCCCTCAGCAGTGTTGGAGTCACTCACCATCTCCCATGAGGCTGCGTGAGAATGCGGGGGTGCGCGGGGACCCCTCGAACTCGGGACCCTCACTTCTCTGCCTGTCTCTCTGGGGGCTGTGCTTCCCTGCCTCACTCCGTGGCCACCAGCCTCTGACCACTGCCCCCTCCTGCCCACCCTGCCCCCCCCCCCACTGCGCTGTCCCTGTGCCCTGACTGATGCCGTGGGTCCTGCACTCATCGGTGACTTCCATCAGCAGGCTTCTCAGTTTCCCTCCTGCCTCCCTCGGGTGCTGTGGTTGTGTGGTGCAGTGGCCAGAGTCCATCCAAGCTGGGCCTGGGGCTCCCTGGGGTGCCACCCTGGCTGTGAGGCCCTGGGGACCAGCCAGCTGAGGTCAGACCTGTAGCCCTGGGGACCGACTCGGGTCCTCAGACATGGAGTGGGTGCTTTGGCCCCGGAGCCTGTGACTTTGGAGTGAACCCAGGGTGTGGGAGGAAGTTGGGTGGGATTGGAACCGGTGTCCACTGGGAGTCAAACCACTTTATTGGGTGATTTCCAGCAGGGCAGTGGTGCTCTGCCACCTGACGCAGGAAGAAAGTGTTTTTCCAAGGCAGCAGGAGGAGACGTGAGGAGCAGAGCGCAGGGGGACCCGTGGCTTAGAATACAGGGGGACCCACAGCTTGAATACAGGGGGACCCCAGCTTAGAACACAGCGGAACCCTTCAGCTTAGAATAAGGGGGGGATCCTCAGCTTTTTAGGATACAGGGGACCCTCGGCTTAGAATACAGGGGGACCCCCTTCACCCTCTGCAGGAAATTTGGAAGGGTTTTGCTCCCCAGGGACCCTGCAGCAGGAGAATGCCCAGATAGGGGCGGGGGGGGGGACAGGCTGTAGTCTTGGGGAGAACCTCTGCCTTAGGGCCCAGGAAGACCCCCAAAGGCGGGTTTCAGGGTGTGCCCCTCCAGGCAGGGGTGCGGGCGGGGGTGATTCCCTCCCCGTCTCAGGCTTCCGGCTCTGCCCCAGCCAGCCCCAACAAGTGCTCCTGACAGCTTAGGTGGGGATAGTCTCGAGGAGGGTGGGGGGACCACCTTGGGTCTGAGCCGCTTCAGGGCATTGGTCCCCACACCCCGAGACCCGCGGCTGGGAGGGACCTTCTCTCCCCCCAGCTCGGTTGCTGTGCAGTGACCCCCATGCTGGCCTGAGAGTGCCTGAAATGGGGTCCTTCACCCTGCCGAGGTCAGAGTGTTGGACGAGGCAGCTGCCCTTTGGTGGCCCCTGGGGGGTCTGACCGGGACAAGAGAGCACCGGCAGGAGAGGGGTGCCCAGGCTGGCAGGTGGGCGGGAGGGAGGCATGGAGATGACCTGTCCCCCCCCCTGTGCCTCAACACGCCTCAGGTGGAACAAACAGGGAGTGGGGGTGTGGGGGGACTCCGAGGGATGCAGTCAGACCCCCAGCAGTGGCTGACAGTCCCCAGGGGCCTCGCGCCCAGCTTCTGGCGCTGGTCGTGGAGGTTCTCCACTTCCGCTCGGCAGGAAAGGTTTGCTCTGTACTTGCTGCCTGGTCTGCGGTTTGAGCGGGGAAAGGCCCCAGAAGTGGGGCCTGAACCCCCTTCCTGCCTTGGGACGAGTCCCTAGGGGTCTTCCTCAGGGGGAATGGGAGCTGGAGGCCACAGCCCCCCTCCCCCCGCAGAGAATGGACAGGGCTCCCTGGCTGCTGGGGGAGGGGGAGGGGCAGGAAGTGGTTTTCAGAGTGGTAAACTGAGGCAGGCAGGACCCAACCCTAGCAGCCAAGCTTCCCTGCGGCCCCCTCCCTGCCCAGAGACCCCCCGCTTGAGGACCCGGGCCTGCAGGCACCGCACGGTTTGACTAAGGCGGGTTTTAGGTGCAGCCCGGATGGGGAGAATCTGGCAGCTTGGACCCCGGATCGTGGGGACCCAGGCCAGTGTAGCGGCCCACCAGGGTCCCCCTCACTCTCAAGGCACCAGGTCTTAGGAGTGACTCCAGACCCTGATTCCGAGGTGGTGGGGTGCACAGGGCCCCATGACCTCTCCAAGTTCTGCCGCTGCGGCCCGGTCCCTGCAGTGCGTGACCCTCTGCCCCTAGACCCCGAGCAGACCTGCGGGCACAGAAACCCCCAAGGGGCTGGTCCCTCAGCTCCCGGGGGTCTCGGCAGCCAGGCCGGGGGAACTGGCGGAGCTTCCGAGGCCACGCGTGCTGAGGACCTTTCTGCCCTGCTCCCGGGAGAGGCGCCTCTCGTCTCAGGCAGGACACAGTTTCTTGTTCAAAGGCCACCAGCACCTGGGAACTACGCAGAGGCCCTGGGCCCCGAGATCAAGCCATCCGCATGTGCGCTCCGGACTCAGGGCCTGCCCTGACCCCTCTGCCCTCTGCCCACCTCCCCAGGGCCTCGGGACCGGAAGAGAAACACTCTCAGAGGTCACAGCAGCCACTCTGGCGGGGAGCTGGCTCCCTGGCAGTGCTGGGGTTCCTGGGGATCCCTCCTGGTGACCCTTGGCTGGCTGGGCTGGGCGGGTCAGTGCTCAGGCCCAGCGCTGCAGGGCTGGGGCTGGGTTGCCGGCAGCAGGCCTGGACTGTCTCCTGCCAAGGTTCTTTGCCTCCCCTTCACGTCACCCAGACACTGCCCAGCTTCTGTGGGGCAGGGGGACATGGGGGGCGGGCACAGCCCAGCCCCCTCAGCCCTGAGCAGCACTGGCCACATAGAACAGCCAGCCCTGTGGGAAGGTCAGGGTCTGCTGCCCGAGCTCTGGGCCACACGCTCCTGGTCACACACACCCCTCCAGTGAAGCCTGATGCTTCTACACTCATGTGGCTTTTACCCGTCGAAGCCCAGAGCTGTGACCCGGGGCCTGGCAGGTCTCCCCTCCCGTCCCCCCTAGCAATTCTCCCTGGGTCCCAGGGGCTAGGAACAAGATGGCAGTAGAGGCTTCAAGAACCAAAAGTCCAGGCCCTGAGAGCCGAATAGGGCAGGCTGGGGGTCATTGGGGGTGGGAGGTGTGGGGCGTAGTGTGGCCAGGATTCTGTCCATGATGTGTGTGCTCCGCTGGCCACCATCCAGGGAGCGGGAGGGGACAGGCCACTATCAGTGCCCGCAGGTTGGTGAGAACCAGGAGGTCCATCGGATCTAGTGGACAGAGGAGCATGTGTGTGGTGTGAGGACAGAGACCCCCTGAGGGCCCTGTGGGACCCCACCCTAGGCTGGTCAGTGACAGAGAGATCCTGCAGAGTCTGATGAGGCTGTCCCTCTGTCACGGGGACCCAGGCAGGAGTCACCTGCTGAGGGAGGCCTGAGGCTGGGAAAGGGAGACCTGGGAAGCTCATCCCCCTCCATGTGCTCTGACGGCCCCCGGAACCCCGGGATATTCTCAGTCTCTTCCTGTCCCCCCCACCCCGCCCTGCATTGACTGTGCCACTGAAGCCATGGACAGTGATCACAGGACAGAGTGACCCCACAGGGAGCTTCAGGGCTCCTGGGGCCCACCCAGCCCGTCGGGTTCCCCCTCGCCCTCCTCCTGCTCAGCCTCTCGGTTCAGCTCCATCTCGGCACAGCCTGAGGCCAGAGGGGGGCTGGGGAGGTCCTGGAGGAGCCCACCTTCCCGCTTCATCTGCGCCAAGTCCTTGGCACAGCAGCTGGGAGTGTTGGTCTCGTAGGTGTCGTGGAATGTGTTGTAGTCCACCTCGTAGAAGCCCTTTTCCAAGGTGAGGACGGGTGTGAACCGGTGGCCCCACAGCACCTCGGTGTCCGTGTAGGAGCTCCGCGCTTGGCAAGTCATGCCTGGGGGGACGGAGGGGACATGTAAAAGGAGTTGCCACAACCATCACCCATCCAGCCATGACCCATCCATCATCCTTCACCCATCTGTCCACCACCCATCCATCCCCCATTCTCATATATCCATCAACCACCCACCCATCACCCATGCAACATCTTTTCATCCACCATCCATCTATCTTCTACCTTTATCACCTGTCCATTACCCGTCCATCATCCGCCCATCATCCTTCATCCATCATTCATCCATTACCCACCTGTTACCCATCCGTCTGTCCATCATCTGTGTATCAGCCATCTCTCCATCACCCACTCACCATCTCTGCATCAATCATTGGCCCATCACTCATTGGTCTAGTACACACCATCATCCATCCACATTCATCCATCAATCTCACTTGTCCATCACCTGTCAGTCCATGATCCATCCATCATCCTTCTACCCATCTGTCCATCATCTATGCGTCATCCATCACCATTCATCATCCATCCATTATCCATCCATCATCTACCATCTGTCCGTCATCCAACCACCATCATTTTCTTCCATCCATACATCCAGTTAGACCTTGTTCATCCATCCATCAGATGTCCAGCATTTGTTGAGCATCTACTTTGTGTGAGACATAGCACTATAAAGCTGCATTGACCTGGCCTTGCTCTGGAGGCATTCAGGGTCAACTGGAGACATAAAACTGAACAACACGCAAGAATCTGGAGTACGTTCCTAGAGGCTGGAGTGGATGATTCTGGAATAGCCCAAGTCAGGGACATGGTTCATGTAAACAGCACCAGGTTTTGGGAGACTGACATGAGGCTGAGAATGAGTTTTGAACAAAGATGGATTCAGAGTGAAGGACACAGGGAAGCTGACAGTCTCGGCGAATATGTGTCATGGATGGGGGCCGGCATCGCCTCTCTCTCGAGAAGGACAGAGAAGGAAAGAAATCAAGGGGGGAAGAAGAGAACAGGAAATAACGGGTAACCAGGCATCGGGGCTTCAGTTATGCCTGGGACACGGGTGAGCAGTACAGCCATAGACTCAAAACACAGGAAACATGAGATCTAAGCTGCTGTCACAGGGACTTTGTGAAGTCCCTGTCGAAGTGACAGGGAGGGATAGGGCGGGGGATGGGGGATTGAGGGGAGGGAATGTGGGAACTCTGGAGGAGGGAAGTTGGTATCTGACAAACGGTATCTGACACTGGTGGTGGGATTGGTGTTGGAATATGAAATGCCTAAAATGCAACTATCAATAACTTTGTAAATCACAGTTCTTTAATTAGATTTTTAAATGTTTTATGGAGAAAGGGAAGCCCCCCCATCTCCCTCCCTCCCTCCCTCCCTCCCTCCCTCCTTCCCTCTGTCTTCCCTCCCCCCCTCGGTTCTGATGTGCTCCAGCTCTCTCTTTCCCTCCGCTCAGCCTGTGCCCGAAGATGCTATTTTTAACTGCTGTTTTTTCCCCTGAGAGGGGGGCTGCATTGTTTGTGGATGAGGGACCCTCGGCGCTTTCGATGACCGGAAAGCCACTTTCTGGTCTTAGTTCCTGCGCCGAGCAGGAAGAACCCGAGGGCACCGTTCAGTGACGGAGGAGAAGCCTGTTCCAGCGCCCCAGTCTGGGTTCCTGTGTGGGTCCCACACGAACCAGACCGGTCTGGGGGGTCCAGAAAGGAGGCTTTGCTCCCCCCCCCCACTCATTCGCGTTTAGGTTCTGGGTCCCCCCAGGACATTCCCACATCTGAAGATCCCCAGCCTGCTCCCTGGGGTGCTGCCTGGCCCCACCTCTCTGTTCAGCCCTTATCCCGGACCCCCGGGTCCCCCAGCGTGCAGAGTGCAGGGAGGGGCTCCCAGGATGCAGGGGTGCCCGCAGGAAGGGCAGGGAGGTCTCCTCAGGAGCCCGTGGGTCAAGTCCGCCGGGGCTCCTGCCCTGTTCCAATCTCTCCTCCTGGGATGAGGCCCGGACCTCCCTGTCCTGCTCCTGCTGGCTGGAGGCGGTATCTGCTGGCCACAGGGCCTCAACCCCCTGCCCCCTGGGGTTCCTCACAGTCCCCTTGCTGATAGGTCAAGCAGCTGTGCCAAGACAAATACGCTCTTCCCACCTGGGCCTGGGACTAACCTGGCTCCTGCCCATCCTTCCAACCGGCCTGTCTTTGACACACGTGCTCAAAGTGACGGGGTCACAGGAGTGGTCTCAGGGGGTCCCTGCTCCCAGGGGAGAATGAGGCGCTGTGGAGCCGTTTGGAACTGCAGCCCCCCGCTCCCCCAACCCTCCCCATCTCCACTCCCTGCTCTCTGCCCTGCCCTGCTTGCTCTAGGAACAGACCGTGTGTGTGCATGTGCATGTATGTGATCTGTGTGTGCTTGTGTGTATGCAGGCGTGTGTGTACACGTTTGCAATGAATGAGCATGCAAGTGTGTGGGTATGCACATGTGTGCGTGCTCGCAACATGGATGTGCATATGTGCACATGTGTACATGCGAGTGTTCACAATGCACATTTGTGTGTGGTGTCGTGTATACATATGTGTGTACACATATTTGTAGTGCACTGCATGGGCATGCTCTCAGCGGGGGTGTACAAGTGTTCACGTGTGCAGACATGCATGTGTGTGGGGTTGTGTGTGCTTATATTGCAAGTTAGTACATGTTTGCATGTGAGCCTCTTCCACAGCCCCTCAGGACCTGGCTCCTGGGGCAGCAGGACGTGAGGGGAGTGAGGGCCGTAAAGGCCTCAGGACACAGGGCACGTGGTGGGGGTCTCCGGGGGGGCAGCTGTCACTGCACCATCTGCGGGAAGGTGGACCCCGGGGAAGGTCTAGGGCTTGGATTTCCAAGGGGTCTGAGCTGCAGGACATGGTGAGGGTCTCGGAGCATCCTGTGTACTTTTCATTTTAATTTATCACTCTTCTGAGGGGGTCCTCCCTGTCGATATCAGCCAAGCAGGCCAGATGGCCCAGTGCTTGGAACAGGCAACACGGCAGGGTCACACCTGGCAGTGCTGGGTGCAGGGGAGCACTACAGAGCCAGAACGGAACTGGGGCCTGACAGCGCCTCGAGCCGGGGGACTGGACAACCTTCGGCCTCCACCCTCCCCCAGGGCGCCCAGGCCATCCCTGAGACCTCCACCACACCCCCAGGGTGCCCGGGCCTTCCCTGAGACCTCCACCACACCCCCAGGGTGCCCGGGCCTTCCCTGAGGCCTCCTCCCCGCCCGCCCCAGGGCACCCGGGTCTCACCTGTGGCCTCCACCATGCCCTCCAGGATGACCACCACCTCAAACTCCTCCTGCTGCAACTGGGCCCGCGACATCTCCCAGAAGGGACTCTTGTCATTGATCTCGTGGGAGATGGTGAGCGGGGACACCAGGAAGAGGCGGTCATCACCCGTGTCGAAGCCCACGTTGATGTCAGTCTGGTGCAGGGGGATGAACTCGCCCTCGGCCGTGTGGCGGGACTTGATGAGCTTGGCTCGGATGGAGGCCTCCACGATGTGGGAGCTGCGCAGGTCGCCCACGCGGAACATGAGGCAGAGCTGGCCGTCGCGGAGCGAGATGACCGCGTGACTGGAGAACATGAGCGTCTCGGCGCGCTTCTTGGGCTGGCTGATCTTGACGAACATGCAGCCCACCATGAAGGCGTTGACGATGGAGCCCAGGATGGCCTGCACCAGCAGCAGCACGATGCCCTCGGGACAGTGCTCTTTGATCACACGGAAGCCGTAGCCAATGGTGGTCTCCGTCTCGATGGAGAAGAGGAAGGCGGACACGAAGCCACCCAGGTTCTCCACGCAGGGGATCCACTCCTGGTCGCCCACGTGCTCCAGGTCGCCCCGCAGGTAGGCGATGAGCCACCAGATGAAGCCGAAGAAGAGCCAGGTGGTGGTGTAGACCAGCGTGAAGACCAGCAGGCTGAACCGCCACTTGAGGTCCACCAGCGTGGTGAAGAGGTCGCTCAGGTAGCGGTAGGTCTCCTGCACGTTGCCGTGGTGCACGTTGCATTTGCCACTCTTCTCCACGTAGCGCTGCCGGGGCTTCTTGCCCTCGGTCAGCAGGCGCGTGCGGTCCGTGGCCAGGGGCGCGTCCTCACGGGCCTGCCTGGGGAGCCTCTTGGCGTCCCGGGGCGCGGCCCCCATCTCCATGTCCTGGTGCATGGCGGTCCTGGAGTCGCCGGCCATGGAGGGAGATGACCCGCGGGGGGCGCGGGGTGGCTTCTGTCCTTCGTCCCTCGTCCCTTGGAGCCTTGGGACCAGCTCGGTGGCGTCCTCCACGTGCTCCAAGCTTCCCCACGAAGCGAACTCCGGGACTCTAGGCAGAAAACATGGAGGTTTTGGGTTGGGGCTTTGGGTTGGGGGCATGACATATAGTGATGCTTGGGGCTTCCTCCTGGCTCTGGGCTCAAGGGATTGGGTGCAAGGCCGGTGATCCAGTCTGCGTTTGAAGCAAGTGCCTGCCTTGTCCCCTGAGCTATCTCTCCAGCCCAGAGGTGTTTTGTTTTGTTTTTCCCTTTCTTTAAAAAAAAAATTTGAATTTGGGGGCTAGACAGTGGGTAGGGCGTTTGCCTTGCATGCCGCCGACCGGGGTTTTATTCCCAGCATCCCATATGGTCCCCTGAGCACCGCCAGGAGTAATTCCTGAGTGCAAAGTCAGGAGTAACCCCTGTGATTCGTTAGGGTTACCCAAAAACCAAAAAAAAAAAATTGAATTTTGTGGGAGAGATTCTCTGAAACACTGCTGAGGATGCCTGGGGCCATCCTACCCAAACCATCTGGAGAGTTCCAGGCAAGGACTCCAGGTTGTGTTGTTCCAAGTGGTGCTGGGGGTCACTGAGCCCCCCCCCCCCAGTGGGACCCGGGCCCTTTAGGGCTGACCCAGCAGTGCTCTGTGGGCCACGTGTGCAGGGTTTGAACCCGGCTCCTAGCGTCCCAGTCCCCGACTTGTGCTTTTATACTGTCGCTGCCTGGAATCCTGGTGCCGCAACAAACACACATACACACACACACTCTGCCCTCACTTGTACCACAGCCCCGGGGCGGGGGGGGAGGGGCCTCAGCTGACACTCCCCAAAAGAAACAAACATCATCCAAGCCAGAGGCTTGCGATCTTGGACTCTGTGTGCTGGGGTACTCCGGGGTGTTCTCCATTTGGGGTGCTGGAGCAGACACCACCTTAGAGTCAAGGCCCCTGAGACGTGACCCAGATGATTGCCACGGGGCCACGGCTCTCTGTTCTACCTTCTGGGTTTGGGGCAGATGTTGCAGGCTGAGATAGAGACTCTGGGTGCAGCAGGAGCTGGCTGGAGCCTGGGTGGGCCAGGGAGAGTCGGGCAGACTGGGACAGGTGATGTGCAGGGGTGCAGGGGGATGGGAGGGAGGCTGAACCCCACTCACCTTCACGCCCGCCCCATCCTGCGAGCCCACCAGGTTGCAGGGAGCTGGCAGGGGCCTCCCTTGAGGGCCCCCCCTTACAGACCACACAGCAGAGAGAGCCAGACACCACGCGGGGAGGGCGGGGGGGGGGTTCCCCTTGCCGCCCAAATCTCCTAGGACCAAGGACTGTGTTTGTCTGGGCACAGCTGCCTCTGCAGCTAGGGGGCGCTGCAGCCCAGAGTTCAGGCCTGGGTCACCTGCCCTAGAAGCAGCTGTTCTGTCCTTGTCCTCGCTGCTCCCGGCGCTGGACTCCCTCTCCTCACTTTCCCCTTCTGAGGTCCAGGCTGGACCCTGACAGACCTGGCATCCACAATTCCCTGCCGGCTCCAACCTGTTTGGGTGACGTGGACCCCTCCAAGGAGCCCCCTCCTCTGCCTGCCGCTCTCCCTGCAGAGAGGGCTGGATTCCTTCCTCCTCTCCGGCTCACCTAGGCCAGAATGGGGAGGCTGCTCCGGTCACTCCAGAGGTGCAATGTTCTAGAACCCCTGAGGCAGGCACCAAAGTGCTTCCGGGGAGGCAGATGAAAAGGGAAGGGGGAAGGGAAGGGGATCTAGGGGAGGTGAGGTGGAAGAGGAAGGGCAGGGAGGGAGAGAGGGAGAGAGGGAGGGAGGGAGGCAGGGAAGGAGAAAGGGAGGAAGGAGGGAAAGGGGGGAAGAGGAGGGACAGGGGAGGGGATCTCCCCATCACTCCATTACTGCCCAGCAGTTAACCAAATTGGCTCCTCTTGTTAACCAAATTGGGGGACCCAGACTTTCATTTTCATATTTTTAAAAGAGAAAAGGACACAAAAGTAGGGAATGGCAACCAGAATGCTCTGTGGGGCTTGGAGCCTGCCCAGACACACTCACACCCTCGGGGTCCTGCTGCCAGGGGTGGGTGTCTGGGTGGAGTCCGTCTCCCTTTCAAAAGGTGCAAAAACTGAGACCTTCGGACTTTCCAACAACCGTTCACTTGCGCCCACAGGGAGGCCGGAACTGCCTGCACCAGGGAGTCATTGGAGGGAGGGAACTACCTGCACCAGGGAGTCAGCAGAGAGGGAACTGCCTGCATCTGGGAGTCTGTGGAGGGAGGGAACCTCATCCCTGGATGTTGGTCGGTGCTGACCTGGTGGCCCTGGTTAAGGGGACTCAGAGGACAGGGGAGGGGTGGGGGCTCCTGGTGGTGTCAGAAGTGCTGCTGGGACCCTGAGCTGTGGCCCCTGCTGGCTCTAGCTGGGCTGCTGGCTCTCAAGGGGCACTCACTCCCCAGCTCAGAGCCCTCCACCACCTCCCTGGCTTCCATGATGCCCCGTTTTGATGCTGCCCCATGACCTGCAGCTCCTCTAGCAAACCGGCTGTGGGGAGCAGAGCTGTCTCCTGCCCCCCCAGCCCCCCGCCTGCCCAGGCCCATCCACGTTTAGCACTGAGGGGCTCTCAGGCAGATGCCACAGAGCATAGGCTTCCTTGACTTGGGGGTGGGGTTGTGAGCTCTCTTGGGGAAGCAGAGGACTGACAGGGCCACACTGCACAGATTTTGGGGTCCCTGAATGAGCAGCAGGTCCTGGGCACAGGGGAGGATGTCCCAGAATCTCTTGTCCCCCAGGGCCCCCACTGAAGACTCAGGTGCGTGTTCCTCTAACTCTGCTCCAAGCCTGGAAGACGGTGGCTCTGCCCATGGCTGCCGCAGCCAGAGAAAATCTTGCACCCCCGTCTCAGGCGTGAGCAGGGTCCAGGCATGTGGGATCTGTCTCCCCAAGCCCAGATTATTTCATGGATTCTTCTGGAATAATTGCCATGGGTTCTGGGCTGCCTCTCTCTGAGCTCAGAAGAATCCTTGCACCTTGCTCCTTCCTGCACAGCTGAATGACTCTGTCTGGTCGTCATCCCCAAGACAGAGGAGACCCGCTAGGGGCATCCCAGAAAAGGGTAAGATTTGGCCTAACAGGTGGCCCCGATTTCTGGATGCAATGTCCCCGTGGGCCCAAAGGGGGCGCCTGTGAGTGAGTCTGGGGCCCCAGAGGAGTGAAGATTCTGGGTTGCTGGTTGGAACCGTGTCCTGGAGACACTCCCAAACCCCCAAACCCCATTCTCAGCCAGGTCTAAGACCCCCAGACGTATGCCCTGTTAGAAACATCCAGTGGATCCCAATCTCATGTCATTGCGATGGAAACCACCAGACAGCTCCCAAGAAAGAGCGAAAGGCCCAGAGAGTGACAAACACAGGTTTCCGGGAAGACGGCGTGCGTGGAAATGAGCGAGGACGGATGAGCGAGGACGGATCCTTCCTGCAGTCGTGCATGGGTTCCAGTTCTTTAGAGAAAATACAAAGGCAACAAGATCCTGGTAATGGGATTTCAGAGATCCGCTGAGGTCTATTTGCGTGAGTACAAATATATTCTTCATTTTCTTTTTTTTTAAAGAGCAGCATTCAACCACATTTGAGGTCTGGGATATAGATGTCTAAGGCGGAGCTGCGCTGAGAATCTTTCCAGCCATTCGATTCTCATCTAATTATTACTGAGCAGAGCACTTTGGAAACAGGCTTAGCTGCTGGGGACTTGCAATCTCTCCTGTCTGGCTCCTCTGTGCTTAAGAGGGAATATTTAAGAAACATCTGGGGTGCTCAGGGGTCCTCAAAACTACTTATGCTACTATTTAGCGGTAGCTCACAGCCCCCATTAGTCTCTCCATCCCGACCCGCCTCCAAGGACGTATGAGAAATCAGGAAGACAAGGGCAGAAAAATCCGCTAGCTCCTTTTCCGTTTCCCCCCATTCGTGTCTGTCTCGCTGGTACTTTTCCCTTGAAGCTACTGTCTCCGTGTCAGTATAACACATCCCCTGCCCTGCAACCCTGTGCCCGTAGCCTAGCTTCTGCATGAAATAATCAAGGGGATTAATAATTAAATCAATCTGAAAAGCCTCTTGTTTTCTCTCTTACGCCCAGGGGACAGATTTTCTGGTCTGGTACCGATTCATCAATGACCATTTGAGAATCTGCACTTAGAGCCGTGCAGGAGAAGGGGCGGTGGAGAGAGCGAGGGAACAGATAATACACAGGGACATGGTGGGTGTCGAGGCAGGGAAGGGGAGGGGCGGAAGGGACTGAGAACCAGGAGCTCCTCTCCTGAGAGCTGAGACCCGCTGGGGGCTTCTCTCTTGCCACACAGAATCCTAAAGACATTCGATGTGTTCTGGAACCATTTCAGAGAAGGTAGGAGGTGGGGTGGTTGTTCCCATCTTATAGATGAACAGACTGAGTCTCTAGGAGGGTGGATGAGCAGTTACTTCCCCTAGAGTCATTCCAAGTGCAACTGAAAAAAGATGCCTCCAAAATGCGGGGTCAAGCAGGAGGGGGAGAGAGAACAGGGGTGGATGCATAGAAAGGAAAAGGAGGCTGGACCAGGAGAAGGAGGAGATAGGAGTCAGGTGGGGGCTGGTAAGAATGCAGGAGGAGGGATGGAGCCATAGCCCAGCGGGGAGGGTGTTTGCCTTGCACGCAGCCGACCAGAGTTCGATTCTCAGCATCCCATATGGTCCCCCGAGCACCGCCAGGAGTAATTCCTGAGTGCAAAGCCAGGAGTAACCCCTGTGCATTGCCGGGTGTGACCCAAAAAGCAAAAAAAAAAAAAAAAAAAAAAAAAAAAAAAAAAAGAAAAAGAAAAAGAAAGAGCTGGTCCCGATCCACGCTTCAACGCCCGTGACCTCATTCTTTCAACCCCCATCTGCCCCCCAGGAGGCAGCGGGTAGGAAAACCCAGTGCATGGCCTTCG